AAGGTAAAATTGTGGTTACCATCTTCTTCTTTTTTGCCGGGGGGGGGGGGGGGGGGGGGGGGGGGGAGGGGGGAAGCTGTCTTCTTCTTTTTTTAAAGGTAAAATTGTCGTTACCATTTGAAAAAAAATCTTTTAGTTTTCCAGGGCTGGGGGCCTGCCCCCCCCCCCCCTCCCCGTGCCCCCGCCCATTGATCCTCCCCTGCTTACTCTCATTTTCTGCATTTTCCTTATCTCTACTACTCTTGACTGCTTTATCCTTCAACCCCTTCTCATTTTTATAACTGAATATATCTTCATATTTTCTCACAACTTAATATCCTGAGTTTTTCCTCTCTCCATCTCTCAGTACAGTTCTTATTGGGCTTTCTTTGACAAGAGGCTTGCCTAACGTAGCAACGATGGATTTAAGCAAAGTGGATTCCATCTAAAGAATACCATCATGCCCAAGTGAATCAAGACGATTTAAGGCGTATCAGGACAGTTACCCCCTGGAAAATTACCCCCCAGAAAATAACCCTCAAAGGACAACCTCCCCCCGCCTCGGAGGACAACTGACTCCCAGGACAATTACCCCCACCCTTAAAATTACCCCTAGGGCAATAAACCCCCCCCCCCTCCCCCTGTTCATTGAAAGCGGAAGTCTACCCTGATTTAAAAAAAATGGTTTTGATCGAAGATTTTTTTTTCCGGGGGTAATTCATTGTCCTCGAGGGGGGGGGGGGGTGTCCAAGGGGGTAATTTTCGGGGGGGGGAATTGTCCTCGGGTGTCAATTGTCATAGGGGGTAATTGTCCTAGGTAATTGTCCTCGGGCTTTAATCGTCATAAGGGGTAATTTTCCTGGGGATAATTGTCCTCGGATGGGGGGGGGGGTAATTGTCATAAGGGGTAATTGTCCTAGGGGGTTGTTCTCAGGGGTAATTGTTCTTGGGGGGTCATTGTCCTCGGAGGGTGGTTGTCCTCGGAGGGTAATTTTCCGGGGAATCATTTTACGGGGGTGGGGTAAATGTCATTGGAGGATAATTGTTCCTCTAGTAATTGGCCAACGGTGATTGCCGAGGGGGTCATTAATCATAAGGACCGTATTGATAACACGAGAAGAGGATCGCTATTCATTTCACGAGTAGAGGGTCGCTATTCATTACACGAGTAGAGGGTCGCTATTTATAATGCGGAACGAGGGTCGCTTTCATAATACGGAATTAGGTTCGCTATTCATGAAAATTAAATAAGCAAACAAAATGATAATAAGAAAAGCACGGCTGTGGTCTAGACATGTGGGGGACGACACAAGGCCCCGAATATGTGTCGGAAAAAATTATTGAAAACATACCTTTCTGAACAAATAAAGAAAAAGGTGTGTCCCAAATAAAGAAAAAGGCGTGCCCCAATCAGTCCTCCCAGCAATATATCCATGGTACATTACCGACAATTTTCGTCAAAGTAGTTCATAGATGGCGTAGCCTGTGTGTGTGTGTGTGGGGGGGGTGTAGCAGCGATGCCATCAAGAGGCTGATCTATCACGTCCCTAACCCTCAGCAAAGGAAGGATGAGACGGAGAGGGGGTTGCAGTGACTTTAGTTATATACCATATTCAACTAGCTTTACGTAAATATACATTATTGCACGATATATTAATTTTAAGTATGTAAGTAAGGAAGTTAGATTTTAAAGATTTAAAGCAAAATAAAATACGATTTTGTGACCGTTAGGCCTCAGGCGATTGATGGCGTCCCCTGTATTTTGTCTTTTGTGAAAGTATATTTTACCTCTTATCTTTGATAATTATATAGAAACATCACCATAACCTAGCCAATATATTTACCCCGCTCTTGTGGTGACGAAAAAAAAGTAAAACATACACATATTATAATCCTATCGTAATTTGTCCCCATTGTCGGAAATATTACCCAACCACCCTGCCCCCGAATGATCTTATCCTGGCTACGCCACTGAGACATTAAGCAGAACAAGCAGGCGTATTATCATAGTCATTTAAGGACTGAGTTTGGTATTTCAGAAACTAGTAATTGTTTATACGACAATATAGGACCTATGGACCTACAAGAATAAAACTATTTTGCAGGCAGAAAAAAACGCAAAAATGATCATGCATTTGCATGTAAGTGTATCATTAGAATTATTCATATTGTTTTATTACATATTGTGAAATAATGTGCATTCAAGCTTTTGGAACGTTTTGTGTGTATTTGTATGAAAGAAATCGTTTGGATCTTATATTGCACATAATGCAATTTACTGTGTTAAACGTCATGTCAAATACTCGAACTCGAGCCAATGACCTCGTTGACTCGTGATTTACATCATGTTAATATCGTCAAAACGGGCGAGAGGTATAGAAAGAAGAAATAAGTAAATGCCTTTGATTTGAACGAATTATACAGAGTGATTGCAAATCTTGCCTAGAAAGCAAATTTATCGGATTTAGTTGGACTGGTCGGATTGGATATGGAGCTCAACGATGATGAAGTCGGTGATGACGAGGAGGATGAATCAGAACTAGTTGGTCTTGATCCCAGGCCACTGACCGCTGATGACCGAGTCAGCGCATTGCATTGCGGCACCGTCTTTTCCCAAGATTCCAGGAGCTACGAGAAAAGATGAAGAGTCGGACATTTATTACCATGGTTACCATTAACACTCTTCTGTCTTTCCATGAAAAGCACGCCCACTCCTCTCTTTCTCTCCCGCTGTAGATTTCTGTTATACAGTAATCATAGTCGGATAATTGGGATTTAGTTTAAACATTATATTGGTATGTTTTTTAAGTAAGGGGTGAATATGTACAATATTCTGGCCAACGCTCTCCGTACTTTGCTCACCCTCATTCCAAATTCGTTTGAACTCGATGGACAGAAACTTCAAAGTGGATATATATCATATCAATAACTATAATAATCTTTATTAGCATTTCATTCTGAATCATATGATTCTTGGCAAAGTTCTGCATACCACAGCTTCTTTGTCAATGCTGAGTTTATGTATGAACTATATATAAATCATTAACGCATATCATTACAAAAGTAGTAAATATAATGTTCAATTTCTTTTTTCTTTTTTCCACATGCTTTATACAGGAACAAAAATCAATGAGCTACATCTCTGCCTTAATTATAACTGTAGATAAATGATACCATCGTTCATGAATAAAGTCAGTCACTTTATCAACATATACATAAGCAATTTAAACGTTTGATGTGCAGAAAATAACACGAGTATGAATAAGTGAAGCAACAAAAGTCAATGAATTTCAGCATGATATAATCAGCCCAATAAAAATGTAACAAAATGTTTTTTTCTCTGCATTGTTTTCCCCTTCATGCCGCAAGCATCAATTTAACACCTATTGCAAGAAGTTCAACTCTAAAATGAGACATAATGCAACCAAACACTTTATTTTATGAAGACCATCTTTATAAGAAGTTCAACAAAATGTTTCCATATGATAAGCATGAGGATTTGTTGACAAGGGGATACAAATTTATGATGAATAAATGCATGGTTCTTGATTTTTTTTTCTTATATGAAAAAATGTGTTATACATCATCATACAATGACCCAAAATTGCATTTTTGGGTAAAAATTAAATGGTAAAATGTATTCATTTATTATTACATCAATAAATGTTTCATGACCATTGTTTTAAAATGCAAAGTAAAGCTGAGCATAGCTGAGTATTGACTCATTGTAACACAACCTACAGGGAGTTTTAACAGACATGTGTCTACATTACAAGTTTACAAAAAAAAACGCATTTGTAGGAACATCATCTTATTCCCACAATGCAGGGGAAAATGTTCCAAGGAGTTTTTGATGAGAAGCATAGAGTACCGAAGCTGTGAGGTCATAAAAATCTATTTTTAGAATTTCTCAGTGTTATATGCTCTGGCTCCTAATGGTTAGGAGCCAGAGCATATAACACTGAGTTCCCATAGGACATATATTCATTCAGATGGTCATATCTCAGCCAATACCTAACATATTCAATTGGTTTTCGATATTTGGAAATTATTTTTGATGTTCTTTTGGAATATGAAGACAAAATTGAGAAATTTTAAAAATAGATTTTTGACGACGTCACACTTCACCACTCTATTGTCCATGTATTCTGATTTCTTTACATGGACGGACATGACCAATTCTGGTTACTTTAATCTAGTACACACATTTCAATAGGTCCTCTTGAATATCAGACACACTTGAACATCTGGCTAGTGACAACAGAAGATAATTGTAACAGATAAATTGGCAAGAAAAAAAAATAGACACTGGCTTATGGGAAGGGGTAGAATCTGACTGAAATTGATCATTGACCATTCACTCTCACCCTAAAAGGCCAGGTAACTTTGGCGTGTGTGTCTCTCAGCCAGAGGGGTTGGATTCCATCATTCAGGGCCATAAAGTAATAACAGCTCGCAGCGCAGAACAAATCGTAATGTAGTGTGTGTACAGGGGTGAATTCCGCCCCCAACCTTCCCCACCCAGGCCCCTGGTCCTTTAAGGAGTAATTTGGCTGTATTTCTTTATGTCTGAAATACTGAATTGACCTTGCTGCTTGGATCTAAGTGACTGCACACAACTTCAACATCTGAAGATATTTCTAAATGATGTGCTTACGGACACAGAGATATAATTTGTCCTCTAATGCATTTACCATAAAACTGCACGCAGCTTATAGATAATATGATCGAGGTAAAAAGAAACAGCTAACCATATATCTGACAATGAGGATCTAGAATTCCCCCTTCTATATCCATACAAAAACTGCTTGAATGTAGATACATACTTAACAAGCAAATAAAAATTACTATAAACAATACTACAGTTAATATAGAGCACTATAGAACACTTTAGAATGAAACTATATCTGCAAGAAAAAAAATAAACCTTTTCAGTGGTAATATACACTATAAAAAAAGAAAATGGAAATGGTTACGAGGTACATTTCAATAAGTGATTTATGCCTGTGTTAGATGGAAGGACAAAAATACTGTGCTCTTTAGTGATTGAAGTAATCATATTCATAGTAGGTGATAATGGACAATATAACAGAAGCGCAATGATGATTACTCTTTACATAAGAAAGAACTAAAAATGAACTTGCTATTGATTTCATGCTTTGCATATTTAACATAAGTAGCAGGTGAAACATATATTTTTGTAATAAATTAATTAATTAAAAAAGATGACATTGATATGTGGATAGTCAAGCAAGAGCTAGTGAAATGAATCGTAAAATGTAATTTAACCAAGATGCCTGCAACTTGAGGCCTTTTCTCTTCATCCTCTATCAGATAAAAACTTGACTACTTTAAAAGGATGGGCCCTACATAATGATTCAATTAAGGCACAGTAAGACAGTTTGTAAATTTGCATAATTATTGAAAGAAACAGAATCAGACAAATGAAGAAGAAAAAAAAAAGGAAAATGTACATGCTACATGTAGATCAGACATGCTAATCTAATCATCAAAGAACCTCTTCCAGCCCACCACATTTACAGCGGTTGTCACACAATCATCTTCAAGGAGTAAAATGATTGATGAGGAAAATTGGCAGTAAACTTTATTCTAATGTTTTTAACGACAGGTGAAAATGTTTGTTTTTAAAAAGATGAATGTATCCATCAATAGTCCTCATCAAACACTTCAATTCTTCCTTCATACAACATCTGACCCTTACATAGGTGAATCTTGGTAGTTCAAATGTAATTAACTTTCATTCTTTAGCTATGAGAAGCCTTTAGATAGGAATGTTAAATTCAGGTATTGAAATTAATATTTTTACAGAATTCAGCCTAGATTGGTAGATTGACCATACAAATAGAGAGAATAAAATAGAGAAAGAAAGAGAGAGAGAGATAGAGAGGAAAGTTTACAAAAAGATCATGCAGGAATGACATATCACAAAAAATAGTTATCTTGATATTTTTTTTAACACGTTCTAATCATATATTCATTTATATTTACAAAACAAATATAATTTCTCTTCAGAGAACACATCAAAGGCTCTTCCTTTTTAAATATACCTTTATTGTTCTAAATATTGCTTTATTTTATGACCTAAATAAATCAATGAAATGGCAGGATGTCATATGTTACTTGACTACACATAAATGTTTTGTATAACTATGAAGCTAGTAACACAGGGAGCATGTACTAAGAAGAGATTGCCTTTATCTTATTTACTAATATGGTGAAACCTGTCTATAAAGACCACCCAAGGGAGACAAGAAAAGTGGTCTTTACAGACAGATGGCCTTTATGTACAGATTTCTTTAGTACAGGTTTCAATGAGACACCTTTTTCATGGGAAACAAAAAATGTGGTCTTTGTAGACAGGTGGTCTTTGTAGACAGGTGGTCTTTCTATGCAGGTGGTCTTTGTAGATAGGTCATCTTTCTATACAGGTGGTTGCTAAAGCAGGTTTGACTATAGCACTTTCCTGGTTCTTCTCTTGAAATACTACAAGAGCATGTAGTGTTCATATTCAGGTGCCATCATGACCAAGATGATGTGTATGTTAATTTGGAGACTATGAGTCACACAGGTGACTGAAAGTAAGTTACTAGATGTAGGACTTCAACCTTGTGTTATCTTAGGTTTGCAAATTAATAACATGAGTCCTGGACATGCATTTATAATAAACACGAATCGCAACTATTTCCAAACATCAACTCAACGGGAATTGTAAGACCCATAGAAAACATTTTTGGATTATGTTTTATGTCATTGTTATGTTCACACACTTCAAAAGGTGACATACAAGGCAAAGTAGTTGCAAATGTTTAAAATAGCCATGTTCAGGCTTGCTTTACTATTAAATGTCAGAAGCAGCAGATCTATTCACATTGAACAACATTTATCAACAAATGTCATGAATATTAATATTGTGATATTTCTCTGTTTCTAAACCTTGGTGAAATTACACTGGACATGTTTTCTGAAGTCATGTATATTTTCATGGGGTGTATTAAATGATAAAATTGTGGTGGGTATAGAACCTGAATTATGAATCTATAAAACCATAAACTACAATGAATCACATGCCATCATGCATTTCTGAAAGGTGCAGAGAGAGAGAGAGAGAGAAAGGGTTCATATTGTTCCTAATCACGAACCCACAACAAATTTTGAACTACAATATCATCACCTTACATTCCTCTTAAGTCCTTAGAAAGTATATCTTGTTCAATTGATACAAAGAACAAGATTATAAACAAGGTTTATCAGTTTAAGGAGGCCAAAGAGAACACATCATCAGGAAAATTCTATATTTCTATATTGCTATATAGGATGTAACTTTGGTTTTCATACTTGTTCTTTGGGCAAGAAACATCCCTATCAGACATTATGCATGCAGTCATGAAGGGCATCTCATGCTGTATGATGAAACATCCCTATCAGACATTATGCATGCAGTCATGAAGGGCATCTCATGCTGTATGATGAAACATCCCTATCAGACATTATGCATGCAGTCATGAAGGGCATCTCATGCTGTATGATGAAACATCCCTATCAGACATTATGCATGCAGTCATGAAGGGCATCTCATGCTGTATGATGAAACATCCCTATCAGACATTATGCATGCAGTCATGAAGGGCATCTCATGCTGTATGATGAAACATCCCTATCAGACATTATGCATGCAGTCATGAAGGGCATCTCATGCTGTATAATCAGTCTATGACCTGCGTTAGGATTCACATGTCAAATATCTTCCTGATCTGGTGTTCAGTGCACTGTAGTCATATAAAAAGTAAATTAAAAATTGCAGGTACATTGCAGTAAGCCTTCCAGTGGGTGAAATCCAATGGGCTACAAATGGAGAGTTGGGCGACTAGTCTGCCAGTTCCCATAAGCAACACCCACTTGGGTCTTCTGTCCAATTGCAAAGATTACAATGCCATAATAATATTGACTTCTACAATTTATATGATATTCAGCAAAATGAGTAAGAAATGTCATTTCTAACCCAAACTCAAATTTTCTTCCCAATCTTGTGACTGGCTTCAGGATTCCTCCTCCCTTTGACTATAAATGGTGGCAGCAGTGGGATATGTACTATCATAATGTAGCTGAGTTTGGTGATGAGGACGGCTTGGAAGGAGAAATGTGCTTCACAACCTTGTCTAGGCTGTCTTGCCATACCTGCAGCAGCTGTACATGGAGAGAAGGTGAATAGATGCAGTAATGATGAGCACACACCAGGGAATGAGTAGGATGGGGGTAATGAATGGTATATAAATAAAAACATTGGATATACATGTACATTGTAAAGTGTGATATGGAAAATCAAGGATAGATGCAGATGTATGCAGATGTATGAGCATACAAGTATGGGTTGTATTTGTTTATGGTCCAATCTTTTCTGACAGTTTGAGGTGGAGTGTATACGGTTTGATAATACACAATTTTCATAATGAATGAATGGTAGAATAACTGAGTTGACTATCAAATGGACATGGCATACATGCTAAATATATATGTTTGGCAGTATAAGGTGTCAGTATCTTTCAAACACCACACCTAGCAATAAAAGCAAGACATATCGTCACAATAGGATTCATAAGCTTTGGGGCATGTTGTTGCAGCTTTAGATAGTTTGAATAACATTGCAGTTACATAGTTCAAAGGTTCATCTTTGGTTCCGCACCAGGGCCCTGTCTTACAAAGATTTGATATCAATCACAACTACCGTATGTACATTAGAGATGGGAGACTGCAAACTTGCAATTGAATCACAACTACCGTATGTACATTAGAGATGGGAGACTGCAAACTTGTGATTGAATCACAACTACCGTATGTACATTAGAGATGGGAGACTGCAAACTTGCGATTGAATCACAACTACCGTATGTAAATTAGAGATGGGAGACTGCAAACTTGCGATTAAATCACAACTACCGTATGTACATTAGAGATGGGAGACTGCAAACTTGCGATTGAATCGCAACCACCGTATGTACATTAGAGATGGGAGACTGCAAACTTGCGATTGAATCACAACTACCGTATGTACATTAGAGATGGGAGACTGCAAACTTGCGATTGAATCACAACTACCGTATGTACATTAGAGATGGGAGACTGCAAACTTGCGATTGAATCACAACTACCGTATGTACATTAGAGATGGGAGACTGCAAACTTGCGATTGAATCACAACTACCGTATGTACATTAGAGATGGGAGACTGCAAACTTGCGATTGAATCACAACTACCGTATGTACATTAGAGATGGGAGACTGCAAACTTGCAATTGAATCACAACTACCGTATGTACATTAGAGATGGGAGACTGCAAACTTGCGATTGATTTGGATCAATATTTACAAGAAGGGGCCAAGGTATTTACAGGAAAATCTGATCATATGTTTTCCCATGGTTCTTCAAAGAAATCATGTCAGCTTGGTGAATAGTGAATTGGTAATAATAAATAAGCAATGATAATGCTATTACAGGGTTACCACAAACTGATATGTAAACATATCAGAAAATAATGATCTTTGAATTTATATGAAGCTTAGTTCACACAGCTCAATACAGATCTAAAAATGGTCCAGCAAAAAAGAAAAATGATATGCTTCACTTATATTTCCAAAAAAGGAAGAGAAGAAAGTGCACTTAAGTGACTTTATTGCATGCAGCCATATGTTACAATGCCATTTGCTATTTTAATTACACATAACATGATTTAAATCTTGCTGCTGTTTCTTTGGGCGGTTTAACAGGTGATATGACATGTAATGTTGCCATGGGTACAATCATCAAAAGTCTGTAAGAGTTTAGACCCGGTTGATCTTGCTCATAATTAATGGCTTAATGACTGTTTAGCAACAAATGGTTATGGAGATGTTCATATGACTCATGTGTTTATAGCTTAAAGGTACTAAATCCCATTTGTAGCCACATCAAATCCTGTAGAACTTTGCAGGAATTATGAATATGTCATGTATGTCCTATCTATGAAACGTTAAAAGTTAGCAGTGTCCTAATATTCAAATTATGCAAGCAAACACATTTACTTTCTAGACTTCACTGTTAGGCACTATTGAGTGACTGACTGGCTTTTTTTTTTTCCTTTGGTAATAACATACATAAAATGAGCTGTAAAGGGTACATGAGCATTTGTCCACATCAATAACTCACTTCTTGTAATGGCCAAAATTAAACTGATTGAATCTTTGCGCAGCACAAATCGTATGACCATTCAGTACAAGGGTCTGAAAATCAGACTATTACTAAATGGATTACCATCACTAAAGTTGATTTGACAACTAATGGACGTTATTTTCCCACTAAAAGACATTTTCAAGCCCTTTCGTTATGAGGGAAGTTCTAAATTAGTATCATCTTTCAAATGCCGTTGGAATTTGGCCTTTTCATTATTTAGGGCCTGCAAATGGACATAGTACCTTTAAAGGAATTGAGCATAAGTGAATGTATAAGTTTTGAGTGTGACTAACCTCTTTCTGACTGTTGACCTCAGCTTCTGCAAAGGTTTGCATGACATCAGCAATGAGAGGCATGTTGGCATGTATTAACTGGGTCTCCATTTGAAGGCAGTGCAGAGAGAAGAAATTCCTGTTCTCCATTGTCATGATCTGACTTTCTTGCTATATATTCAAAAACAAAAATTAGATCACATTTTAAACGAGGACTGAAGTAAACAAGTAAAAAAAAAATTAAAAAATTAAATTCTCACTCGAAATAGAAACCTAGCCCAGATATCATGTTGCTTTGAGGGAGTGTCATAAGACAAAGAATACTAGGATATGATGAGGGACTGTCATTGGACAAAGAATTCATGTATATAAATAGGTTCTACAACAAATCACAGGCATAACACAACGTTAAATCCTAATTTCTTTAACTTTTAAACAAAATCTATAGGGTAATTAGTCTGACTTTTGCTAGTATGTAACATGCAATAATCTGTACATTCTTCTTCTCTTTACTAGATATCCTAACAAAAAAAACATTCATTACTTTGCTTTGATGTGTTAGAGGGATAGTTGAGTTTTGTTGCAGAGGGCGCTACACAAAATATTTTTATGTGATAATGAAAAACTGAGTGTCGAATTTGAAAGAACATACAATTTAAATGACAAAATCATCTTTGTTTGATCAAAATCGGTTCAGAGACGGCTGAAATATCCATAAATATAACGATTTCTAATATTCAATAATTTTAACCAGCAGTTGAAAAACAAAAATAGCGCATTATACGCTTTATACCAGCCAATGCTGACGCTGGCTTTTTAGTGTTGGTTATAATACGCACAACCAGCCGGCCGGTGTATTGTTATTATTAATTAATTAATTAACGGTCACCATATTTTTTAGAGGGTGGAGCTGAATGGGTATGATCGACAGCAGCTGGGATATACGATAGATTCGCCGGAAAAATAACGATGTTTTAATGACGTCGCTATATGGACCAATACTGCCCAAGCAGACAACATCCCATAAAGATTGAACATAATTGCAAAGCTATTATTTGTCAAATATTAATGGCCCGAATTCACAAAGCAAGGTTTGAGCTCAGACCAAGGTTTACGTACGTCATATGACGCGTTTTAGACCTTGGTTCAGACCTTGGTCTGAAATGCATTTCACAAAGCCGGTTTGTCCTCAGCCCAAGGTTTATGTACGTCATATGACGCGTTTCAGGTTTGAGTTCAGACCTTGGTCTGAAATTACATTTCACAAAGCAAGGTTTGTCCTCAGACCAGGTTTATGTACGTCATCAGACCCGAAATTTACAGACTGCTCAGATAGGAGGTTTGTAATTTCTCAAACCTGGTTTGAGAGCTATCAACCAATCAGGATGCAGCACTGGGTGGAGATAATTTATGCTCGATTGATTTTATCCAAATAATTCACCGCCTAAACAATCTGCGATAGTATCTGGTCAGCCCGATTTTAGTGCAATTGAAATCTCTCAATCTCTCGATCCTTTCCTTAAAATCGTAAGTATAAAACCTGTACATGTAGTCGAATCCATACTCTTCACGTTACTGACATTTCAATATGTGATATGCTTTATAACTTTCCATTTTCCATGAAATGTTCGGTGTTTACATATCCGACGGCCTCTCAATTCCAGAGTTCAGGGACTGAGTCCGAGGGAGCTCGAGTCCAACGCCCAAGGCGGCGGGGGAGCTCGCACCCTCTGACCCTGGGCTGGAGTTGGGCCTAGCCGGGCCTACAGTAGGCTATATCTGAGTATGTCAGTATGACTGTCATGTTTAATTTCGTCTTGTTGTCAGCAATGCCATGACACATGCCTATTAGAATAGGCGTAGACCTACACTAGTTATTACAAATTCATGATAATGATAATAATACCAGGCTCTAGCCTAGTATAGGCCTGGCAATGATGTCCATCACTTGACTTGTTTCACTGACACTGGTACCTAAATAAATAGAAATTAAAATGGCATCAGCAATGCCAATGTTCCCCAAAATGAATCACACTGACAGGCATGGACCAAAAGCTTCAGTCTCTCTATATCGCCGGTTGTTCACTGAGACTACGCCTGGCTCCACTAGACCTCCGATTATAGAATGTCAACAAATGTCAGTTTTAATATTATTTTTATTAAAGAAATGACCCATATCACTCAGACGGTTATTTCTGTCTATGACTAGATCTAGTATGAGTCATGACAAGCAAAGCTTAGTTTTATTAAATTTAGATCTGGTTCTGATTGTCTTAATTAACTGGCTTAGTCTCCAGAGCAAGGATCACCCACAAAGTCACAAGCACAAGTAATAACATTTCTTTAATTTAAAAACATTGTTTAAACATTTGTTTAATTTTATTTTCACTCTAGTAAAGATGGTAGAAATGCAGCTGATTCAGCATAATGAGCTGGTGTACCTGGAGGAGGAGCTGGAGCAATATATAGCAGCACAACCGGGCAGAGGCCTCTGAGTCTGAGATTGGGAAAACCCGCTGGATGATGAGCCTTTTGTTTTAGATTGAGGTAGGCTACTTTGAATTCAAATTCTGTATTGGGAAAGTTGCTGAAAACATGGCCAAACTACTTGATGAATATTGTTAACATAGCTATACAAAAAAAGGGCTTCTGTTGTAAAATCCAACCCTAGACTAGTGTCGTTATTAAAATGCAGAAATATTTCAATTCATGTTGACCGCCTAAATTCACTGTTCGTTTGCCCCGCTTCGCTGGTCTGCCTACGACCGTGCAAGCCCCCAATGCAATACACATGTGCATTTACATAAATTTATTCAATTTCTAAGCATTTTCTGTCATATTCGATACATTGATAGATTAGTTATGATATTTATTCTTTTACATGGTACTGTAGGTGATGGGAGCATTAATGTTCATAATTTGTGTGTGGGGCATTTCCCAATACTGTTATTTGGCTTTAATACATGAGGAAATTATTCAGATTATGTGTTGGAAACAGGTTTGTGATTTCTTGTTTTGTGTAAAACTACTTAACTACTTAAACTTATTTTTCAAAAGGTGAAGCCGTGAAGGAGATTAGAAAAGGCATAGACAATTTTGTCTTTTACGTTAAATTGATTCACACCACATCTAGAAATCAGGATTTTTTTTTTTTTAAGTGACAGTGACAGTTGGGGATGTAAAAATATAATAGCATAAACCAGCAAAAAAATGATTTATTTGAATGCTTGTTTTTTTTAATTTTTTTAAAAAGGTAATTCGATCTAAAGGATGCACCGTGAGGAGGTGGCATGCCGTGTCATATTCATCCGTTTGCCGAATGGAGAGTAGTGAGGGATGTTTCCGAAGCTGTTGTCAGAAGAAAGGGACAAGTCATGAAGTTTCCTACAAGTTACAAGGCAAATAGTGACTACTATTTAGAAGCAGTTTTTCCAGTACTGCAGATTTCCAGGAGTTGCTGTTGATGGGACACATGTTTACATCAGGAGCCCTGGTGGGGCAAGAGCCAGGTACTACTTAAATAGGAAGAACAGGTACTCCATCGATGTTCAGGTGAGAATAAATGAATACATCATGACTGGATCCAGCACGGCTTTCCCTTTAGACCTTTTTGTTTGTACCTTGCAAAATTTTCACATTAGATATATACACTCTCCAGTCTTGTGTGTTGTACATCCATGCTAATTCATTGGTGACCAATGCAAGATTTCTAGTGGCCAAATGGATATCATTTCACTGCCTTTGTACACAGTTAAGAATATCCAATGGATAGTTAAACTTAAAAATCCTAACACTCGTTAATATCTTTTTAACGAAAGGGAAATTTGAAAAATCAAAACTTGTTCCATCCTTCTATTGGCAATACGGATATGACCTCTAGATTTCTGATATTTTGTTGATGGCCATGGCAATTGGGCCACTGTTTTTGCCATTGATCAATGAAAGAAAAAACAACAAAGAGAAGCATGTAAATTGATCAATGGCAATTACCACTATATATTTTAAACTATAGAAAAACAAACAGGTTCATTTCCAATAAAAAGATGCGAGAGTGGGTACCCCCTCCCCCCCCCCCCCACACACACACACACAAAGCATTTGTTGTTTTAGGCTCGAAATGTTTTGTTAAAAGTGAGATTATTTTTGTTTACATTGTTACAAGATAAACAATGAAAACATGAGTTAAAAATGAAGAAATACTTCATCAGTCAATAAATATAGGGTAATTAGAATTTTCTTCCAATTTTTGTTGTATGAATAGATATTGAAAAGCAATTATTACATATTCAACTGCATTTGCATTAATTACCATAAATAACAAGTGAAATTTATACATTTCACGGCCTATCTGAAGTGTGAAATGAGTGAGTTTTCATAACTAATGAATGCCAACATGTTATTTCATATTGTCAGGTTGTCTGTGATTATGCTGGGAAAATAACTAGTATCGTTGCAAGGTGGCCTGGACTGGTAGCAGCCACGATGCCAGGATCTTTTCTGAGTGTGCACTGAATTGACAGCTTGATGCTAGGGCATATGAATAACAGTTGATTCTTGGAGATAGACTATAGGGTAGGTACTGTAGATTATTTCTTTATATGAAAACATTTGTTTATTCTTTTTCTTAATCAATCTTGTTTCCTTTTTTGTATTTGGCCAACATGTGACATGTTAGGAATGTTCATTTGGTAATATAGTAACAACTCGCATTAAGTAATTAATTCAAACGAGCTCATGTGCTTTTAAATTTCAGTTCACAAATCACAATTAATGTTTTTGATATCTGGATGCAACTTGATTAGTTTGTTGTCAAGTGGAACCTCATAGTTTTTGTATTAGTGACACAGGATTGAATAATTCCTGATTATGTGTACAATACATTGTATCCTTTCTATAGTATTACCCCCCCCCCCCCACCCCCCTCCAAGAAAAAAAATGAACAAGTCGAAATTAAGAATATTGTTTATGATATTGTTTATTTTGTTCATTCAATTTTGCAGGTATCCATGCCTTCTCTGCCTCATCAGAAGCCATTTCTTCATTCAGAGGGTCGACCACAGATGTGCTTTAAAGGCCATCTGTACTAGTTCAGCCAAAGAGGATTAGACAACCCAGCAAGGTCACTGACGGGAGGCTATCTCATCAATTCAGTTCTCAATTAACATAAGAAAAAGAGGATCATGGGGGATTAACAGGCACAGATTGGGGAAGTTTTCTATATAGAGGGAGCAAGTAGCTAGAAGTAGTACAGTGGGGCTTTAACACTTCACACACAAAAAAGGGAGATGTGTGATTGAGCGCATATTTATTAAATGCAAGGATGAGGACGTTCCATGCCTCATCAATACTAAGAGTATTTCAAAATACGGCCCCTCCCTGGTGTTCCCACAATACTTCGTAGTTATGCAGCATTACATCAAGAACCTGGGTGTTGAATATTTTTGATGTTATGTTTAGTTGATAAGTATTTGTTGTCACTCTGACGGTATTTGTAATTAAGTGTTCTCTATAGATTAAATGCACCCGATTTAACTATAATTAGCATTGTACTGCTGAGTTGAGGGGTGGGTCAATATAAATTATTTGGTTGGCAGCTAGGGGAGAGTATTCGAACAAATATTATTTACTGTACTAAGCGAAGTCAGAATTAAAGAACTTTTATGTGCAAATTTGAATTTTCGTCACCCATTTTGTTGTATTTCTGATTTTCTTTCTGCTAATAGCGCTACAGTGAGACTTTTAATTGGCCTTCCAGAGCCTCTCTTAACCTCTAGTGGGCTATATTTCATATAAGCATGCTACAAAATTTACAAATGTAAACTGCATTGTTTGAACAAACGGTAGATTACTATTGTGTTGTATGCTCAATTATGTAAAACATGAAAATACAAATACAATATTCTTGCTTTCATATATTTACAAAGATAACTGAAATAGATATGTGTCAGATTATCTCTCTCTCTCTTTCTCCCTTTTTTTTTTGGGGGGGGGGGGTGCAGATGTGTGTGTTTGCAGTTTGCATGGTTTTGCATTATGTGTTTCATTGCAAAAAAGAAGAAGAAGAGAGAGAGAGAGAAAGTTGAATAGAGAGAGAGAGGGGACAAAGAAAAAATTAATAGAGAGAGAAAGGGAGGGAGAGAGAGAGAGAGAGGGAGAAAGAAAAAGAATTAATAGAGAGAGCAAAGGAGAGAGAGAGAACAAAAATGGGTATAGAAAGAGAGGAGGGACGGGGACAGAGAAAGAGACAGGGAGGGAGAGAGGGGAGAAAGAAAAAGAATTAATAGAGAAAGGGAGGGAGAGAGAACAAAAATGGGTAGAAAGAGAGAGGGACGGGGACAGAGAAAGAGACAGGGAGGGAGAGAGAAAGAAAAGATGGCCATAGAGGAATTTTTTAAAATTAATATTATATGGAAACAAATCATTTACCAGTTACAATTTTGATGTGAAAAAAATAGCCAGTTGGGGAAACAAACGGGGAACTAGTTAAAATATTAATTGATTGACCATTCTAACAAAATAACTATATAGATGTATAGTAATTAACAATTGCAATCAAATGAATTAATATATTAATCACAATAAAAACTTAATTCATATTAAATCATTATTATTATTATTATTATTAGGTGATTTTATTGATAAGAATTTGTAACCCCCAAAACAATAAGACTCTTACAGTTAATTTAAAAGAACCCTTGACAACCTTAGATGTATTTATCTAACGAAGGTTTTCAGGTGCCGATGTCAATTTGTTCTGGGTCAGATTGAGTCACTGATCTCTACGGAAAAATCCGTAGAGATCAGTGGATTGAGTGCTTCACCAGCACCACACAAATGTGAGTACGTGGGGCACTTTCTGCATCGGCGCGCCAGTTTGGTTCGATTAATTCATGAAAATGCAATTCAAAAGTTTATTTCAGAGATGTTCTAACCATCATCTTTTCAAGATTGCTCATTAAGATGTCCGGATCGTACTAAGAATGCTTAGTTTAACAGTTTTTTCAATTCTTAACATTTAAACCCTAGCCCATAAAAATTATGTTAGAAACCCTATGGCTGAGACTAGTTTTACAAACCTTGGTCGGAGGTTTGGGAATTACAGACCAAGGTTTATACAAACCTTCCTTTGTGGAATGGGTTTGAAAATAAACCAGGTTTGAGCTCAGACCGAGGTTTGTACAAACCTTGGTCTGATCAAACCGGCTTTGTCCTCAGACCTCCGTTGTGAATTCGGGCCAATGAGTTTAGTGTATATACATGTAAATGTAATGGCATGTCAAACCATTCAAAAGGGGATATGACCCAGTTCTGATAACTAAAATCTTTTGCTTGTAAATACACAGGATAGGGGTTAATTAACAATCAAAGAAACCAGACTTTCAAATTGAAAAACCCCCAGAATGATATTAAAGTTGATACTCTAATCAAATAAATGTCCCTTAATTTGTTACCTACGGCAAGTATATGTTATTTTTAAGTTTTTCAATTACTTAGTATATCACAAAAAAATTCTGTCTACTCGAAATCCTCAATTGAAATGTTGAAAATTTCCGCCTCTCTTTGCATAAAAAATCAGTCACGGCGCTGGTCTACTATTTATGACCTCACGTCCGGGAAAGAGTATATTCACGTACCCGGATGTTCCATAGCAAACATGTGCAGAGTGATACGATTTTCTGCATATTTTTGTTTCAAAGGCTGAAAAGTCTAATAAATCATAATTCTATGTACAATTCTTTACCTTCCCCTAGTACTTCATAGTATTAATATCAATTCCCCTTTTATAAATTATGACATATACATGCCAACGATGTGCTATTAGTCGATATTTTCACCATGTAATTTTTGTTTTGGTGTTGAAATCGGCCCAGGCACGGAGTGAACAGTAGCTGTCTACCCATGCACAGTTCATTACCATACACTACAGCGATCTCCCGATGGTTTCTTCTTCCTTTTTCCCATGTCTTTCGCCTTCCTTGGCCCTGAAGATCCTTCATCTACCAATTCTGACACCGGTAGTCAGGAGCAAGTCTTTGTTTGTTTTTTGTCTTAGCTGGCAACGTCGCTTTCATTCTCTTGCAATTGCCGATAAACATATATAACTAGCGCACGTACGTTCCATCACAAGCAAGCAGCGCCTAGAGCAGCGGCTTGGTCTTACCTCCCGATTCTGTTCGCTTCACGAACGTTCATGCAAGAGCCGCATCGATCACTCGCCAAAATATTATAGAGGAAGCGCGCTTGCATGATCTCGTTCAAGTTTGATATTTTACAACATAAAATGTTTAACTGGTACTGTATCCTTTTTTGAGGCAGTCACACACATCTATGATAAGTACTATCATAGTTCTAGACCTATTCGTTTTACAAAACTGCTCCTGTACCTTATCTGATGACAATTATAATGCATCCGCCTATTCATACGTGCACGATTTAACTTTAATTCCTAAGCAGTAAACTCGCCTTAAATCTCTACCAAATAGGTGAATATGAGGATATAAAAAGAAATCAGCGACTGGAAAATGTTGCTTCGTTATTCTTCATTCAAATGAAAACAGAAAATCCATCAAATATACTCCTTAACAACAACAAATCTAAGCTCTGACAGGATAGCATTTACGTAGAGCACTGCCATTCACTCTCACTGAGCCCATGAGTCCCGTTCGTGACGTCACGGATAGAGGCCCGACTCTACGTGCACTTCCGGGTTTCAGACTTAGATATTTTGGTAGAGTTTACTCGAATAAATTCATTATTCTAAACTTGTTTTGTCGGGTGGACACCATTTGGTGTTATTATGGGGGTTAAAAGCTTTCTATTTATGTAATTATCTCAGTATTTGGGATTGTCTTAGAGTATGAACTTTAAGGACAGCATTTGTTCCCTCTTGAAACGCCGAACATACCGCGGTGTGAGCAGCTGAATATACAATGGCGTCTTATTTTGTTTACAAGCGACAGATTCCTTTATTTTTGAATCGCTGCATTTGTCATCAAAATAAAACCATGCGCGGGTTTAGAGTGAGGCAATAGACTATACATTAAGCCTGACGGTAGTGAAGTAAGAAAAAGAACTCAAGAGAAGATGAAAACACAGGCACTGAAAATGTGTGAGATGTCATGGGACATCGACTGCTTGTGCAAATCATGTCCATACTGTGATCTCACACATCTTAGCAGCCATCGGAGAGCTCTTTAGGTTCTATGCCAGGGCTGTATTTAAGCATTTTGTAATTTATAATAATCATTACTTTGAATGTTTCCAAGCATTGAATTTGATAACCTTGTCGAATCAAAGTTTCAACTTTGCAATAATGAAAATAAAGTTAGTTTTTAAAATCAATGAATATCTACTTTAAACAACTTCCTAAAACAAAGGAAAACGCTCTCGGCGGTCTCGCCTGCATAACGCAATTCGATATGATGAAAAATTGAGGTTGGAACATTATTTATAGGCAGGGTCGCCCATTAGCAGGCCCCAAAAAATGAAATCCCTGAATATAATCAGCATTTGGAAGCGAATATTGACTAAGAATCATCAGAAGAATTATTTACTATTAATTGTACCATGATCAATAACTTGAATGAAATATGAACAAATTAATTAAAAAAATTGATTTATCAATTCTGAAAACATAATCAAAGTCTCCTGACCTAAAATGACTGTTGACCTTGTGACCTGTAATTTGTGTCATTAGATCTGTGATACTTGATAACCCTCGGGTACAAGTTTCATGGAATTTGAACAAACAAATTTGAAAATTTTGAAAATATGCTAAAAATTCAAAATCTTGATGTTGATGCCACAACAAAATTCAAGTTAGTTGACCTAAAATGACCTTTGACCTTAACTTAGTGACCTGAAATTCTACTCACATGATTGGGGATACTTGATAAGCCTTAAGTCCAAGTTTCATTGACTAAGAACTTATACTTTCAAAATTATATCAAAAATTCAATAACTTAACCTTAGGTTAAGTTTTTAATGTTGACGCTGTCGCCGTCGCCGTCACCGGATATACGGCGCCTTTCTTTGCTTTTTGCTCCGCAGGCGAGACAAAAACTAAAATTGGAAATTGTAAATTAATGTACAGTAAAAAAAATATATAAAAAGTGTTACAAAAATGAAAATAAAAGAAAGAAATAGTCCTTGAAATGAACTATGTGTTCAATGATTTCCTTCTAAAAAGATTTGTCTTGTTCATAGGGTTAGGGTTAGAGTTACCCTAACCCTAAACCAATATGCATGCTCATATCAATGTCTCTGACTTCAAAGTCATGATGCTTAAATGTCAAAAGATCTTTTGGTTAGGTATCTTCTCACCTCAATAATTCTAGACTCAAGTTGTTCTACTTCATTGACATACTCTCCACCTCTGATCGTGGCAGACATCTTCTTTTTCTTTATAGCAGCCATCTTCTGAAGAGCATTTTGATGATCCCTTAGCACTCCCTTCTCATGTCGCTCACACAGGTCCTGGCAGTTTTTAAAAAAATCATTTAAAAATAGGTAGGAATTATAATAAAGTTTGGACATGTGTCACTCCATGTGCATCTACATACATGCTATTCTTAATTTGAGCATCTAACAATCAGTTATAGCAAACACAATTGCAAAGAATTTCAAAAAATAAACCCAATAGCAATTTCAATACACTTGATGACAATGAGAAATTAATAAGAACAATAGCTACATTTATGCTGCACACATATCCATAAGGGATGATCAAGTCACCTAAAAAGAAGTATTATTACTCTGGCTTTAGCCCATCTGCCCTAAGCCTCTAAAAGCATTCCAGGAATAAATTCATACCAGGTAACCATTTACTACAGCTGGATGGAGAGTAGCAAATTTAGATTAATGTCCTGCCAACGGAAAACAGTACTCGAACCATGAATAATGTGATCCAAAGTCCAGTGACTTATCCACTAGACCATAACGCAGCTTTATATAGCATCATCCATTGAGTTGATTACTTGAAGGTCTATGCAATCATGTCAATAACTTGTTGCCAGTCTTGACTTTCAAATCATTTGGTTTTGACACTGACTATAGGCACAAGGAAAAATAAGATTGGTGGATGTGACATGGTCATGTGGCCTGCTCTCAAGTCCCTTATAATGGTCTTTCCTCAAGATCAAGTCACGGTTTGATCCTGAGTAGCATATTTAATATGATTATTATTATTATTATGAGCAATTCCTAAGATCACATGCAATTAACACTCTCTGCTACCAGTTGAAACTTGCCTTGTATGCCTGCAGAAGATCAAGAAACAGCCAGAATTTCTCGGCCACTCCTTCGTTAAGCCTCTTGCCCTGGAAAATTAAAAGGAGAAGAAAAAGAAACAATTAAGATGTTTGAACAGAAAATAATTACTTGTTTTGTCGAGTAAAGCTCATAGTGCTATAAACAATTCTGTTGAACAGGCATGAAGTTTGCATACAGTTAAACATTCTGTTATCATGCATGCAGGTAAGAAAATGTAATTGTATTCTTCTTTCATCAATATTAATGATATCTGCTCAACTTTTCCCACCAAAATCATTGTGATTATTAAATAAAATGGATATTGTATTACTTTCTCTTACATTGTCAGTGTCTAATTCAATAAAACCTGTCATCCCATGTATATTATAGCCTACATGTACAAACATAGAAATTGAGTAAGTACACTCAAACTTGTATACCTCTTACACTTACCTTTATATCAAACCTCAGTTTAATTTAAATTCAATTTAATACCTTTTACTTCAAATCAGTTTAATTTCAAATTCAATTCAATACTTTTGACTTCAAATCAGTTTAATTTCAAATTCAGTGATCTATTACTCTAGCTGCAAATGTCATACTCAAGAAAAGGAAGTTTTCCAAATCATCACAAAATCACAAGCAAATGTTATAGTCCATGAGGGGGTAATCATTGTAAAAGAAAACCCATCTACATTAATTAATAGCTTTTTTGAGAAACATCTGACTCTATCTTTTTGAAATTTCCTCCATCATGTTTCTCAATAAACTTCTGCTTCAAAGAGAGCAATTGGTTTGCAGCTCCCTGTAATGATGAGGCCCATTACCTGGTTCGTGTATTCTGTACCTACTCAATGATGAGACCCATTACCTGGTTCGTGTATTCTGTACCTACTCAATGATGAGACACATTACCTGGTTCGTGTATTTATCTGAGAGAGAAGCAAACTCTACTGCTACAGACTTGAGACCACTCTTGAGATTCGGCCATGAGTCGTTGTGTCCCATAGCCCAGGCAGAGGCTGGCTGGGAGTCACCACCTAGACTACTCAACTCCTTGGCAAATGATAGGGTATCTGCTGCATTACCTGAATGAAGCAAGTCAAAGAGGATTATCAACTAATTACACTTGTTTTGGTCTTTCATGGCTAGAGGAGGCATGATGGCTCAGTGATAAAGCAGTGGTCTCATAACCACAAGGTCCCCGGTTCGAAACCAAATCAATGCAATCATACCCTTTCATAAAGCATTGGTCCTCATAACCACAAGGTCCCCGGTTCGAAACCAAATCAATGCAATCATACCCTTTCATAAAGCAGTGGTCTCATAACCACAAGGTCCCCGGTTCGAAACCAAATCAATGCAATCATACCCTTTCATAAAGCAGTGGTCTCATAACCACAAGGTCCCCGGTTCGAAACCAAATCAATGCAATCATACCCTTTCATAAAGCATTGGTCCTCATAACCACAAGGTCCCCGGTTCGAAACCAAATCAATGCAATCATACCCTTTCATAAAGCATTGGTCCTCATAACCACAAGGTCCCCGGTTCGAAACCAAATCAATGCAATCATACCCTTTTATAAAGCAGTGGTCTCATAACCACAAGGTCCCCGGTTCGAAACCAAATCAATGCAATCATACCCTTTCATAAAGCAGTGGTCTCATAACCACAAGGTCCCCGGTTCGAAACCAAATCAATGCAATCATACCCTTTCAGTGATAAAGCAGTGGTCTCATAACCACAAGGTCCCCGGTTCGAAACCAAATCAATGCAATCATACCCTTTCATAAAGCATTGGTCCTCATAACCAAGTCCCTCAGAGAGGACTTACAGCGAGCGAGGCATAAAAACTGAAGATCCATCTTTTTCCACAGCTAGTTTTTGTCTTTTTTGTATAGATTGTTTATTGTAAGCACTATGAGACTTTTTTGTACAGCACAGTATGAATTACCATCATTAGTGTTGTAGTAGTAGTAGTAATGCTCGTAGTACTCATTTTTATGATGATGATTATTATTGTTTTTGTTCTTGTTGCTGTTATTATTAATTTCATCATTAGTTATATTATCATTTTCTCTAATATCATTATTATCATTAATATTATTTGTATTAATGTGCCCAGAAGTCAACTTTGATTCAAGACACCAATGGTGAGAGCAAGAAGGATTTTCTTCATTAAAGATAAAGGTAGGTTCTAGTAATGTGATTACATTGTGAAAGAAATGGTGTGGAATGGATCAGAAAAGGTTGATCATGTAGCATGTAAGTATTGGTGTGCACTGCAAGGTTCTGGAGTCATCAGAATCATAATAAATTTGGCCCAGTCTTGGTAAAGTAACACACCCTGTACACAGAAAGATGTATATGGGACTACACAAATGGTGTCGGGGCTAGCTTGCCTTGATTTCCTTATCTTTCTATGCTCATTACTCAGCCAGCATACATTTTCTTCCAAAATTGTTTGGCACATGACATTCATTTGTAATCTTGAACATTCAGTGTAAGTTTCATTTGATTCTGTGAGAATTAATTTTCTTTTTTTTACCAGAACTCAAGTTTACCTTTAATGTCCATTTTACTTACCCATTGCTCTCATTGTAATTTGGTCCACAAATCCCTTAATAAGGTTCATACTGTTGTATAGACTCTTTATCTGTTCTCTACTGTTACCAAACTGCACTTGTGTATCCATTGGAACAAGATCCTGGCAAAGCAAAGGTAAATAAAAGATAACTCACATCCATAGTTATATACTACATCCTAAAATGTAACTCAGTGGGAGGGGGGGGGGGGGGGGAATCTTATAAAAACATGCATGACTTATAAATATTCCATTTAAACCAATAAAATGTAAAGCAATGCTTCTAATCTACACATGTACATTCACTTAATTTACAAGCAACAATTAGATAGAGAATAAGATGATAAAGAAGAACAAGAACAAGAAAATACTATAATAAAGTGAACAATACCTAAGTATATGTATGTGTACAGGCCTTAAATTTCGTCATTTTTAGGGCAAGGCCAGTTTGGCCTCGAGTACCTCATATTTTTAAGGGCACCAAGGCCAAAATATTTTTACAAAAAGGGCATCGAGGCCAAAATATTTTACAAAAAGGGCATCGAGTATGAGGCCAAAAAAATTGTTTCTACTTTTGTTAGATGTCATGTGTATTTTATGAAACTTGTGTGGGATCAATTTCCCATGACTTTTAGCACCAGCTTCTTCACAGAATGTATAGAGGTCTACGGTACATACAAACAAGGCGGCGGCCCACAAGTTAGATTTAGCAGCCAGGAGCAAGGGGCAATTTTTTTTTTAAGTCGCCCTTTGCCACAGGAATTTACCAGAGCAAGGGGCAATTTTCCAAAAACAGATAGGCCCCTTATCTAATCATAAGTTCAAAGAGAGTTGTTAATTTCATAATGTGAATAGATCGAACGATCAATTTAATAACTTTTTAATCTTAACAATATGAACAGGAAAGATTGATTAAGAACATTAAACTTGCACATTAAACAGTATTCTAAAGTAACTAAAAATATTGATGAGCAAATGAATAAATAAATTGTCAATTTCACAAACATCGAAAGTCAGAAGGACTTGGCAAGTTTACCGGGCCGGGTATCCCAAATCAAAATCGCACCTCACACACAAACCTTCCGCCACTCTCTCGGTAGTAGGAGCAAATTTGAAGAAATTATCTTTTTAACTGTTGTATAGAAAGGTCTAGATAGGCCTAACTAATGAAATAAGATGTAAAAATGTCCTTATAGACATTCGACAGCTGAAAATGACACGCTCAGCTCAGTTGCGTAACGTGCATTCACGAAACCAAAATCGTTCCTCGCACACACACTCTCGCCACTTTTGGTGGGAAGCTGTCGGGCTGGAAGTTTGCCAGCGAAACCGATGCACCCTCGGAGACTCGCAGCGCGTAATTTTACCGGGACTCGAAACGTTCGTCTTGGGAGGCTGGCGGGGTAGCTTTTTGAAGCGAGGTCGGCTGGTGGCAAAATGAGAGTAATTACGATCGAGAACATCGTAGGTGTTCTTAACTTATTAATAAGATAATTCTAAATTCTATTTGAGATAAAATAATAAACTAGACCTACAAACAAACCTCGACAGATCTCTAATGACTATTTGAATGCTTGTTTATTTCTCCATTTGACGATTTGTTTTCTTGATCCTGCACCCTGCCTGGCCTTTGATTTGTACGTACGTACGTGCGTGCGTCAACAACATGCACCATATGCATATCATGCGATCGCATGAACGTACGTGCGCTAGCGCATTGCCTATATAATAACAAAGGGCGCATTTTCACGGCACTTGCGCCTTATTAAAGCACTAAATACGAAGCTAGAAGAGAGCTCGTGGGCGGCAAACTGTTCGTGATTCGTGTATTTTTTCTGTTCTAATAATTTATGGGCGCATTTTCACGGAAAACACTTGCGCCTTGCCGTCTAGTTTTAAGCGCAATTGGTGGTTTTATGTGCGCAAATTTAAAAAAAAAGGGCACGTCCAGTTGGAAAAAAGGCACGTCGGCCAGTTTGAAAAAAAGGGCACGGCCTTTTTGGCCGTGAATTTATCTTTTTTTGGGAGGGCACCGCGGCCAGTCATAGGGGCATCGACGGCCTGGCCGTCGATGGCCGTCGATTAATTTAAGGCCTGTGTGTATTCATATTAAGTGGGTAACTGGAAGTTGGGAATCAAGGAGCATGTGGCATATTCATATTGCTGTGATTCAGTCTGAAATAGAGAAACTTAATGCTGAAACATCCTTAAACCATGGTATCAGATCCAACAGTCACTTGATATCAACACAAAGGCAGAGTATGGTATGCCTACCTTAGCCTGAGCAGCTAGCTTGCTGGTAACAAACTCATCAGGTATCCCTCTAAACTGCTCCTTGATTCTATGCTGCATATCCTGTAATATAAAAATGATTAGCCATTAGAAGGTGTCAAGATAGTATGCTCCTCTGTCCCTATCATCACAAGAACTCATATATTAAAGGTAATACAAAGTTTTGGGAAATTTTGAAAATTGGGTGGATAGAGATTCTTTACAATTTTGATGTATTTGGATGCCCCTGTGGATGTATTATAAGCACTAGAAAATTTAGCCCTTAAAACACTTCTGCTTTCGAGAAAAATCGAATATAAAAATTTACCGGTGCTCCCGTTACATTTTGATAAATTTCAAATAGCACCCTACGGCCGTAAAATGGTAGCTGCGACCATGACAATAATAATAAAAATAATAATAGTGGCTACTTGTATAGCGCACAGGTCCACCTTTCGGTGCTCATGGCGCTTAGAAAAGAGTACATGTAACAGGCATAAGAAAGAAAAAACAATAAACCGAAAAACAAATTTGGAATTCTCCTAGACATAGTAAATTAAAATATTGCAATAATTACAACGAAAGAAACAAATAGGTTTTTAGTTGTAATTTGAATGTTTCTGTCGATGACAGTTGACGTAATTTTAGAGGGAGCTTATTCCACAGTTTTGGACCCATGGCTGAGAAAGCCCGTTCACCCCAAGCATGTTTTATTCTGGGTGTATTAAGTAATAGTGTGTCTGATGAGGAGCGAAGACTTCGTGTGGGGTTGTATTTTGAAACAGAGTTGCTCAGGTATGCAGGGGAAGAAAGAGAGTAAACTGAATGATGTACAAGTAACATAATTTTAAAAATAATCCTTTTTTCAACTGGCAACCAATGGAGAGAACTGAGAATTGGTGATATGGAATCAGATTTCTTAGTGAATGTTAATAGGCGGGCTGCAGAATTTTGAAGTCGTTGCAGTTTTGTGACATCTTTTTTTGGAAGATTACAGAACAATGAATTTGCAAAATCTAAACGAGAAGAAATTAAAGCATGAATTAAGATCTCAGCCGCAGGTTTAGATAAACACTTTCTTATGAAACTTAGATTACGTAATTGGTACCTTACACTCTGTTGAACATGTGTTATGTGACTTCGAAAGGACATTTCCTGATCAAATATTACACCCAAATTACGAGCTGTTTTTGATGGAGTGATACACCTTTTTCCAATATGGAGATGACACGATTGATAGTCAACCTTCCCTAACATGTGCTTGGAACCTAATAATAAAAACACAGATTTATCATCATTCAGCTTAAGGCCATTAGATACTAACCAGGATTTCAGTTCTTCTAGACATTTTTCAAGTTTTGAAACGGCTGAGGACAGTGAAGACATTGTAGGTTTAAAAGAAAGATAAATTTGGATGTCATCTGCGTAGCAATGGTAACTAATACAATGTTTGTGAAATATGTTGCTGATTGGTTGCATATAAAGAGAAAAGAGCAGTGGTCCTCCTACCGAACCTTGGGTTACACCATACTTCATAGTAGTTTTACTAGAGGTAGAATTATCAATTTTTACATACTGAGATCGTTCAGAGAGATATGATATAAACCAATTAAGGACGGTACCCTTGATACCTAATGATTTCAGCCTTCGAGTCAGGATAGAGTAATCTACTGTATCGAAAGCTGAGCTCATATCTAACATAACAAGAGCAGTAATATTACCGCAATCCAGTTCTCTAAAAATAGTATCAGTTAAGTTGACAAGTAATGTTTCCACACTATGACCAGGCCTGTAGGCAGATTGACATGGGTCAAACAATTCATTATCTCGCAAATATGCAGTCAGTTGTGAGAAAACAATCTCAGAATACGTAGTTGTGATATATAATTTCCAAACGGGAATAGCTAATCGGTAGATTTTAGTCAAAAAACATTGTTTTATAGCTTAATTAATATCTTGACCTTGAGAGGGAGCTATACAACATAAAGATTGTATTATTTACAATTCATAACTTCGAACTTGATTTTAACCGCGACAACGATCACTAAATATTGTAGGATCGCATATGCTTCTAATATGTTCATTTGAACCAAATTCATGACCCCATACCAAACATTGTATTACCTTCGTTTGTAAATATCTTAATTTGTCATTGATTTCTTTTGTAACACAGCATTTGTATTTTTGGGGAAAGTTTGTATATGTTATGATTTGATTTCTTAATAAACACATAATTATCATAAAATAAAATAAAAAAAAACATTGTATTACCTTTAAATTAGAAATTAAAAAACAATACCACCTAGTAATGACGCAGAATTTACAGAATTTAAATAACACAATAAATTCACCATTGACCGATAAAATCCTTTAAACATCAGCAATAAACATGTTCAAGAATCGTGTATTATCATTTTAGATTTATCAAAATATTAATAAGTACATGAAACCTCTTTTATGCCCAATTCAAATCATGCAAAATTGTTGCATTATGGTCAAGTAAATACACATATGAATTAAACAGATATAAGTCTATAATTACAACATAGCTTATAAGAACATATATTTTTAATGCAATTATATATAAGGCAAACTTTGACAAAATTGCCTTTTGCCACAACCAGTTTAAGGCATTTTACTTTGACATATACAAGTGAGGCGTATGATATAAAGGATAAGTAATGCCATTTATATTCAGCATTTATATTGTACTTACAGATCCGGTGAATGTTAGGAAGAAGCGAATAACCTCACTGCCATGGAACGTAGGATGTCTGACCACTAGTGTCAGGAATCGAACCAAAGCTTTTCTCCTCTGCTCTATGAATTCTCGATTTGCTAAAATTAAAAAGAATAAAATCACCTTTTATAAGCTCAGGTTGTCAGTTAGCACAAAACTAATATAAGTGTGAAAATGAGTTATATGAAGATTTTTTCTCTTTCTTTTTCTAGTGTGTTGTTGTTTTTGATTTGCTTGCTTGTTTGTTGTTGCTGTTTTTCCAGGGTCAAGTTGGAGGGAAGGTTGATTTCAGACAAATTGTTTATCTCATTTTTTGTCAAGTCCATCAAAAATATTCATTGTACAACATCCAAGAAGTTCAAATTTGATGTGATTTACACTCAGGTCCAGCACCCTATCCATGACTTTTCACCATATAATTTTACATATCCATTAAAAAAAATGTTATCATATTGTAAGCCTGTAAATGGGACATACGACAAAACCTCTGCATCAGCTTGAAAATCTAGACTTAATGGTTACCATTTCTGTACAGTTGTAATGCTTACCTCCTAACATCTTTTTAGGGGGGAGACGAGGCACCATTCTGTATGGATAGCAGTTGATTAACATGTCGCTCATGGCTGCAAAGTCACTGTAGCGCCTAAATACAGTAGACTTGTACATCTGGAACAACAAAAAAACATAGTTATCAGTAGAATGGATTGCACATCAATTAAAAAGTTTTCAATCAGAATGTAAAAGTATTTATTCAAATTCACAGGGAAAAAACACTTGACACTTCCAGTTCATAGACAAATAATTCATGCCTGAATATACAAAAATATAACTTAACTTCTATGATTGAATTATGCATAAATCCATTCTAAAATGATATCAAACAATAATAGAAAACTTTAAAGCACCATTATTGTTGCTGAAATGCATAAAAGGCAGAAAATGTACTTACCTCTGTACGACTTATTGAGTGAACAGGTAAATGCCCCCAAAATACACAAATATACCATCAAACTTTCCTAGTTTAAACTCCTGTTTTGGAGTGGACAAATTTATTTAGTAGTTTTCCAATGGTAATCTAGCTCTTTCCTAAATATAAAATGAAACTTTGAGCCTATTTCACATCTTATATAACTACTGTAGTATTGTACATGCACAAGAAGTACACCTCACATCCCTTATAAAATAAGGGAAAAGGCAGATGAGTAAGTTAGATAAGTTCTAGTAAGAGACCTTCATTATGTGCACATACTGTAATTCTTTGTCACTAGCAGTTGCCATTGTTTGACATGTTAAATGTGTTTTGTCTTTAATACGGCAGAGATGTTCTTAAAGGATGTATCTCACTGAGCAGTGAATGCTTACAAACGATTACGACTGTTTTGCAAACGCTTGCAACTATTTGCAGAACAATAAATTTGCAAATAATTTTTGAACATGTTCAAATTTTCTTTGCGACAAGAAAAACTATTTGCGATAAAGAAAACTGTTTGAGAACTTTCTTGCAACCATTTAGGAACCCTGGCGAAACCCCAAATTTGAGTGAGTTACCCCCTTAAAGGTGCTTACCCTGCTAAAGACTTCATACTCCACATGTTTAAGTAGTAGACCTTTCTTCTCAGGTATAAGATCCACCGTCACATGATCTAGTGCACTTAGCTGGGCGTAGTTGTAGTTAAGGATGTTAGGGGCTCGTTCTCTTCTCACATCTTGGCTTAATTTCCTCAGATCTGACAGGTCACCAAGAGAGGGCTTAGGAAGCTCTATATCAATCAAATAATAACATCTATTGTGACTCAACATTAAGTGATTAAAAAAGAGGCTGCTTGCATGACCAAAAGAAATTCAGGCTCTCCCAAGAACAGGACAGAGTAAAAATACTTAATGAATGGAACATGATGAAATAAGGATGTACATGTACAGTGTATGCAATACATTAAACCAGGGAGTTTTAAGAGCTGGAGTCCTATCAAGCTTATTCCCTTTGTACCATCTTCGATGCTGCCAGGAGAAAATATATCAGGCATGTGCTTAAAGGTAAAGACCAGTTATGGTCATGCGATTGCATTGTGAAAGAAACGTTGTGGAATCGATCAGAAAAGGTTGATCATCTAGCATATAAGTATTGGTGTGTACTGCAAGGTTCTGGAATCATCAAAATGATAAGAAATATGGCCCAGTCTTCGTAAAGTTACAAGCACTGTACACAGAAAGATGTATATGGGACTACACGCACACGTGCGCGACACGTGCGTTTATCTCTCACAGACCATGTAGATAAACTAATTTACCAAATATATCAATTAGTAGGTGGTTTCCCGGCAAAATTTTTATCATCATGTATTAGTCAAAACATATTCTTTCACATGATTGGTAATAAGATTTCTCTGCTTCTATTGAAATTAAGTTATTTTTGGAGTGGACTTGCCAGGCTTTAAGTTAGTTTCAATAAAAACAGCAAACTTAGTGAAACAGATCAGTGAAAGTTTGAGCAAAATCTGAAAAAAAAATAAGGAAGTTGTGAATATTTGAAGTTTTACTCAGTCAAACACAAATTGGCAACACTGTTACATATCTTGCGAGGTCCTTTCCCATTTGCTCAATGTACTATAAAAAATAAAAAAATTGTCTATAGAGATATTTTATCATTTTAAATATGTCCACTTGAATCGTTCCACATGGTTTCTACACAACTCCTGTATGTATGGAAAAGAATATATTCCTTCATCAGCAACTACGAAAACTTTTCTGTAGAGAGAAAATGGAAGAGGACCTTGTTAGATATGTCACAGCATTGCCAATTTGTGCTTGATAGAATAAAGTTAGAAAATTCATAACTTTCTTATTCTTTATCGGATTTTGCTCAAACTTTTACTGATTTGTCTGCTTTTATTTAAATCAACTAAATATTAGGGTGGACACCCCCCTTTGAAGCTGCACGCATTATGTGAATGAATGTAATATTTCAAGACATTGAGATAAAATGACAGATAACATCTGAGAATAAAAATTGTTCTCAGAATACCTATTACATTTAAAAGAAAAAATAAAATATTTCAGAGATATAATTGTGCTCAAAATACCATTGCTGAATACTAAAGAAGCAAGCTTATCCTATAAAAGTTTCTGAACAGTGCAAGAACTGAAATGGTTAACAATTTCTTTACCTTGGCCGGTGTAATTCTCCAAGAGTTTGACATTTGGCTGCTTCCCTTGTTGAGCTAGAGCTGTGAGGGCTAGAGCTTTGTATAAACCCCCTCGGTAATGAAGCCTTGCTTGCTATCCACAGCATCCCATATCTGAAACCAAACCATGAGAAAAGAGAGAGTGAGAGATTGTTTGAGCGGGTTGAGATGGTCAGAAAGACAGTGGGAGAGAGGTGTGGGGGAGGGGGGGGGTAGACAGAGAGAGTGGAGACAATGCAAATATAGAGTAAAGTGTTCATGTATTTTGTGTTTAAACTATGCTAAAAGTGTACAATCAACATGTACATGTACATCATGTTTATTTAGATAAATAAACTAATATGTACAGTACTGTGCCCTTTTCTCTTTCATTGGTGCAAGTTGAGATTATAAATAAAACATCAATAAAATATTTCTTTCAATGAGCACATTGTAATTGCTTTCTCTACCAGTTTCATGAAACTAAATGCAAGCTGCAAACTACATCTTTGCAAAGTAGAACAAAATCAAGACTACATGTATCTTCAGGTCTAAAAAATAAGTCTTCAAGGTCTATGACGTGTGATTCTATTTTCTTTCTTATCATTGAACATATACTGCACATTATCTGGATAACATACATTCCTGACGTATTAAGCACTATATAAGCAATAATATTATTATTATTATTATATGTACACAAGGCTTGTCGTCATGTGATTTGATATCATAAAATAACTATGTACACGTACTGTACATACACATACATGCCTATAAAATGATAATTTATGTTGTTGTTTTTGTTGTTGTTTTATTTTATTGTGTGTGGATGTGATTGTGTATGTATATTTTGATGATGCTTACCAGTATCAAACATCTTGGGAATCTACATTAGTACATTTATAAACAACATAGAAACTACATGTAGTTCATGCTTACATTTCAAATCATTCAGATAATAACAGTTTGCTTTTCAGAATCCAAGAGTTGTTACTTTGCAAATTACATTGCATCCAAATCTATGTTGCCAGACTGGTAGTAGCCAAAGGGAAATAGGATCATATATCTCTAATCCTATCTGAACTATACTTGTTACCTATAAGATACATGCAAGATCCAGGAATGAAAAATAGACTACCATACTTGTACTGGTATTCAAATGTATGAATGGTATTTCACACCTGTTATCTTTGTGAACTCATCCAACTGTACGCACTTTAACGTAATCTCTCTTTAAAGTGTAAAAATCGGCTCTGTCAAATGTCCGTGGAGACACAGACCCATTCATATGGGGATAGGGCGTTTAAAAAAATATGTGTACATGAAGCACCAATTATTATCATTATCACTATTATTATTATTACTATTATTAAGTTTTTGTTCTATTTATTCATCTTTGTTTGGGATCACCACTTTGGATACATCCCCCCCCCCTCCCCCACCACCCCACCCCTCCATAGAACCCTAGTGCCACCCTTGTACATACAGTACGTACATTAACACAAAGATGTACATGTATGCAACTTACCATATAGAGAAAAAAGGAGTCTTTCTTTAATGCCCCACTGCACTACTTATAGCTACTTGCGCCCTCTATACAGCCAACAATGCCTTAGCAGTACCCGTTGATCCCCCATGATGCCCTTTTTCTGATGTTAATTGAGAGCTGATTTGATGAGATAAACACCTGCCAGTGACCTTGCAGGGAGGTCTAATCCCTCCTGGCCAAACTAATGCAGATGGGCTTTAAGGGCATGATTTTACCATGTAAATTTCTGAATGCTGAAAAGCATTATTTTATGACATTATGATTTTTTCCTCTAATCGGCTGCATGTATGAAGTGACTTCCTGATATTGTACATTTCCTGGTTATCAACCTTGTTTCCTGCTTTGACTATAGACCATTTATCGTATACACAAACAGGTTGAGTGGGAAACACATAAAATATCAGCAGTGAACATTGAAGAATAATGTGACATTAAACTTGCTGAGTTACTCATATTAAATCTCTCACTTAAAGACGCTGAAAGAGTATGATAGATAAATTATAAACTTTCAATGCTTCATTTTTATTTGCAATCCATGAAAGGATCTATAAAGGAAAAAACTCTAAACCAGATGGCTGGCCAGGTCATCCAAAGAAGAAAAATCCAGAGATATTTCTAACATAATATAAAATTTGACTGAATTGTAGCTCTAAATTTGCATTGCTGAACTTTCTTTTCTTTCAACAAACTCTTATGCGCTTATCAATCCTTTGCAAAGAATCGCACTGTAAGTTGACAGGCCTGAGTTGATTTTTATCCTTGGTTTAAACCTCTAAAATTGTAGAGTGTGCATGTCCTCAATATATTTATTCTTATTTTTTTATTCCATGGTGGAGGTTTAAACCATGGTTTAGACAACATTTGAATTAAACCTGCTTTGTGAATATGGGTTAATCGGTAAGGACAGCGTAATAGTAGTCTAATATAACTAGTTTGGTTAACATGAGGGTTTGAATCTCTGTATTTATTCAGTTGTTTTTTTGTTAAATAGTGAGGCAAAGGAATAAAGTAATCAGCGCTAGTTCAAAAGTCTATCCAAAATTTGACTCGTAACTCCGGCACACAGTGGGCCAGAATCGCCTCAAAGTGTGCCAAAATTCAAAATTGGCGAATGTGAATTTTTATAATTTTTTCATTCGCTTGGGGAAGAAAACATTCTAAAGAATATTTTTCCACCCATATTTTAATATTTAGCGAGTTTTAAAAGTGTCATATACCCCTGCGAACATGGGAAAATCTATATGTTGCTCCAAAAATGATAAAAGAGGCAACTTTACAATAGGTGTTGAGAATTTATGAAGGGAATAGCAATTGGTAACCCAATTAGAAAATACCAAGACCAAATTTATGGAAGCTTCATTTTGGGAAAATGAGCATTAAATTTCACAAAAAAAGGAAAAAATTGCAATTTTTTTATAAAAGTAGCATGTTTATTAAGATTCCGGCCGATTCCCGCAGTGATGTTAATCTCAAAACGTTTGCCCAAACCTAAGCTTTCCATGTATGGTATTTCTTTTTGCTAGTATTTGCTACACTGCATGTGCAGGCGCTTTTCCTCCCCACGTCAATCGATTATTATTAGGCATAATCGGTACACATTTGTACTGTTTACGTTTGCGCACAGCCAATTCAACGCTCGTCCGCGTAACCATGGCAACGCACAGTGGGCCAGGGAGGAACCAGTGCGCCAAAACTCATTTTGGATGATTTATTTTTCTTCAATTCTCTTCTTGACCAGTTGAACTGTAATACATTGAGGAATACCTCAGTAAAATATGTAATTCCGGTAAGCACAACTAGGGTATAAATTTACTCCCTCAAACAGCAAAATCCTACATATTCACAGTTTTAGTGCAAAAGTGACTTATTTTATAAATCTTTCAATTTAACATGAAGTTCTTAAGTTATTGATATGAAATTGCTCTCACATATTCCTGATAGTTCAATTCGTTGCATGAATTGGTTAAAATGTATAGAAACACAATCTTCATGATATATTAAAGGTTAATTCACTGAAAAATGGACTAATTATCCATGTTTTTTATAAATCCAGAGGAAACGTTTATATTTCCGCAGAGTTCGGCTTATATTTTAATACCACCATTTTGTCTGATGTCTAAGCTTTAAGTAGGGTGTCTGAACGATTTTTCAATTTTCAATTTGGGATCGTTTTTCACCATTTTTGTTTGATATTTGAATTAAAAATGTAATCAGAACAATATATTTCAAATTTCAAGTCTCACCGATGTTTCTATCAAAAGATACAGCCCCTCCGAAACGCTGGAATATTCATAGCATTTTGATCAGAATTGACGAAAAAGACGTACATGCAGAATTATGTTGTTTTGCTACATTTAGCCACACAGCTGTATCGTGCGATATGAAAGCGTATGCATAGCGTACGCATGTCATGTGCAACTTGAAGCTTGAGCCACGCTGTCTCCGCGACATGTGCCATTGACTAGTATGGCTAGCCGTTCGTCGCACAATAAACCCGGAAGTGAATACACGTTATAGTCAATGGCAATATCGAGGAGACAACGTGCATGTTGTCTCCACGATATTGCCATTGACTATAACGTGTATTCTCTTCCGGGTTTATTGTGCGAACGGCTATCCATACTTTCATTCACTATACGCGCAGATGTTACGCGATGTAACCATGGTTTGGACTGAGCGGAGCTCACGCTTCCCTAATTAGCTGATCCGAAAAATGTGGAGAAGGGTATTTTCAAACTGTAATCAGCTGTGATCCCTGGGGGCTAGCGAAAAAATAAGCGCATAGATATATTCCTTAGGACTGGGACTACTTATCGATCGGGGCGTTATATCTCAAAAGTGACAAACCTCAGAGTTAGCCAGGACAAAATATTTAAATTGCTGTTTTGACCAAGATATTTTTAGAATTTCGGGGGTGACCCCCCTTTGGAAATATTGGAATTCACCTGCTCTTTCATATGACACCTCATTTATTGAGTATCACCTACAGGATCACAACAGATAAAGGTTTGAATCTCAAATTGAAAAAAAAACTTGACTTTTTTTGCATGGTCGCGCAATGCACATAGACTGCATAGGGATGCGTGTAATCTCTATGGGAAGAATTTTAGCACACAACATCGGGTGCGCGATCAGACACCCTACTTTAAGTTGATACCAAATTTGGCTGCCCCATCTTGCCCGTTGTCATGTTAGAGCCGATTCCCCTTGCCACATTGTCCCAAAAAATATGTTTGTTTTTAGTCCGCGGCTGAATCATGAAGGATTCGCGGTCATAAATCACGGCGCTTGGGGGCACGGGACACTTGTTCTGACACCGCGGACCAAAATAAACACATTTTGGGGGGCAATGTTGCAAGGAAAACGGCTCTAACATAATAACGGGCACAATCGGGCAGCCAAATCTGGTATCAACTTAAAGCTTAGATATGAGAGAAAATGTTGGTAATACCATTTAAGCGGAAATCCCTGGACATCCAAAATTGCCTATGGATTTATAGAAAATAAATCCCCAGAAATTAGTTTTGGCACACTTTGGTTCCTCCCTGGCCCACTGTGCGGCGTGGAGATACCCTACTAAAACATACTAAAGTCAGAATATTTACTTCATTTTTGGTATGTTTTAGTAGGGTATCTCCACACCGGAGTTACTGGTCAAATTTTGGATAGGCCAAGACTTCTGAACTAGCGCCAAATAATCAAAGTCATTTGTTTGTGACCTCTTTCGTAGCTTGTTAAGTATGAAAATGGGTCCATACTGGAATCTATGGAAAATGTGATGCATGCGGCAAGGGTTAAACTCTATGTAGACTATGGTCTTGGAGTAGTTTATGTCGAGTATGGATTGGGTACTAATTAATGGGGAAGGTTGAAGAAAAAAAAATCAATATTACTAATAAAATATTAATATTATTAGGCCTAGAGGTCTAGGAAGTATTACCACTGTTATTTCTGTCTAGTTCTACTTCTAGGCCTAGACCTTAGGTTAAGCTTATCAGATGCATCCTCTACACACACACAGACATGTTACACGCTACTTTAAAGGTATTACAAAGTTTTGGTATGGGGTCATGAATTTGGTTCCAATTAACATATTTGATGCATGCATTCCTACAATATTCATTGATTGTTGTCGCGGTTGAAATCGAGTCTAAAGTTATGAAATTATAAATAATATACTCTTTATGTTGTATAGCTCCCTCTCAAGGTCAAGATATTAATTTAGCTATGAACGATGTTTCTTGACTAAAATTGACCGATTAGCTATTCCCATTTGGAAATTATATATCACAACTAGGCCTAGATCTACATATTCTGAGATTTTCATGGTCGCAGCTACCATTGTACGGCCATAGGCGCTATTTGAAACATATCAAAATTTACCGGGAGCACCGGTAAATTTTTATAGATCTAGAATCTATTCAATTTTTCTCGAAAACAGAAGTGTTTTAGGGGCTAATTTCTTTTAGTGCTTAGAATCTCTATAGACCCACCGGGTATCCAAATATATCAAAGTTGTAAAGATTCACTATCCACCCAATTTTCAAAATTTCCCAAAGGTCTAGACCCTACCTTTAAATCGTATAAATGACGAAGGACCTTACCGTGCTAAGGGCTTGCTTGGGTAAGCTCGACTTGATCAGTATCTTGACGAACAAATCTCGATCAATTCGATCTTGTTCAGGACAAACAATGTCGTAGACTTCACGGTAGTACGGAGGCACGGAGCCTGAAAATACAAGCAAAGACATATCATTAAAAAGAACAACATGGACAAGCATATATTTAAAGGTCTTCAAATTCTCCTTCATGGTCCAAGTTAATCTTTCAATCATAACCTTAAACAATTAACAAGCACAAAAGGGAAACAAGTGGTCTGAAACACTCACCGAAACTCAATTCATCAGCCATGTTTTCAACCACTGAAAATAAAATTGGCAACGCAACGAATTTAATGATTGCCTTCAATATTGGTATGTAAAATGTCAAATTACCTTAAAAAATAAATACATTAAGTTTATACATTATTGTTTACAGCAAAATATTATTGTAAAATCTTTATATTTGTCCATATTATTTTTTAAATCAAAATTATGTTCTCGATTGTTAAATTGTATACCGATTCTTAAAATACAAACGAAGGCCACTGCTCAACTTCCTGTGGGGCGGATGCTGATAAACGCGAACCTGATAATGACCAATATGGCACACGCCTACTTTTAATCGGCTCATGTGAGCATTGCGAGCTTAATGTCATCCAAATAAGACTTGCTATATAACAAGTCATAAATAATTACAATGTTCAGTTTTTTATCAGCTATAATAATTAAGCTACACGTACTTCTTTGCTATAATTTCGCAAAATTCACTTGACTCTCAATCCGCAGGATGCGGATGCAGGGGTTCCGTACGTACGTGCCGGGCACCTTTTTCTTTTAATCCACATTTGTCACTCTGGGTACGGCCGGTACCTGCCAATTATTGCTGACTAAGGCCAAACAATAATTACAGGGCCCAATGGCGGATCCAGGGGGGGGGGAACAGGCAAAAACACGATAATTTGTAACTTTATATTAGTATTAAAAAAGCTGACGACGGCCCCCTCCCCTGGTGCTCAAGGAGGGTGGGGGCCGGGTGGGGGGGGGGGGGGGTAGTGAGCACTTTTTTTGTTTTTTGCCCCCGAAAATTTGAAAATCGTTCCCCCCCCCCCCCCTCCTTGCAATATTCCTTGCAATTTTCCGTGCAATTAACCGTTTCAAATTTTCGGGGGCACTGAAAAAATAGTGCTCGAGCACTACCCATCCCCCGGACAACACTGTATCAGCTAGGTGATGCTCGAGGCTTCCATATATAGTTCAGTAAAAGTATCATTATCATTATTATAAACGTTATCTTCTTCTTCTTCCTCCTCCGCTCTAATCAGCAGGCAGGAATGTCATGTCAGGTAGAATGTATATTGGAGATTGATTGCTGTTCTCACTCTCTCTTCTCTCGTTCATTCCCCGTTTCTTTTGTTTCCTTTTTCTCTTTTTTCTTCTTTTTCTTTCCTTTTCTCCTTTTCTTTCTATTCTTTCTTTCTTTCATTTCTTTCCCTCTCATTTTCCCGACGCCAGTGCAATTTTACTGACAATATCCGACGTTTCTTTTGTTTCCTTTTTTCTCTTTTTTCTTCTCTTTCTTTCCTTTTCTCCTTTTCTTTCTATTCTTTCTTTCTTTCTGTTCTTTCCCCTTTCTCTCTAATTTTTCCCGACGCCAGCGCAATTTTACCGACAATATCCTGACAGGTGGGAGTGTCACAGTGTTACTGTTAGTGGCCACTAATGCCCATTAGTGAATAGTGACTATAAAAACATTGCTCTTCCTGGCTATTTGCGAATACTGATGTCAGTTTGCAACAGAAATGGAAAAACGCACATTTTGTTGAAAATCATGTTATTATCACGAACATTTATAAATCACCGTGTATGGAATTGAACATAAGTCATGGTTTAATTTTATTGGGGGGGGGGCTGGCGCGCACCCCCCCCCCCCCCACCAGTACGCCAGTGGAGATTGCTGTTCTCCCTCTCTCTTCTTTTTCATCCCCCGTTTCTTTTGTTTCCTTTCTCTTTTTTCTTCTTTTTCTTTCCTTTTCTCCTATTCTTTCTATTCTTTCTTTCTTTCTGTTCTTTCCCCTTTCCCTCTCATTTTCCCGACGCCTGCGCAATTTTACCGACGATATCCTGACAGGTGGGAGTGTCGCACTCCCCCCCCCCCCCCCCCTCTAGCGACGCCCCTGAGTGCAGCAGCATCAGCGACGCTCTTCGGGTCCTTATCATGCTCTACTGAGAGCTGATGAAATATCTCCAACTCTTTGCATCGCTCCAGGGCCTGACTCAGTTGGAAATATTCAGCATAAAGCCTGTATCTACAAGATCTAATATTGGTTGAAGCAAGAAATACGATGGCGGATCCGGAGGGAGGGAGGGGGGGGGGGTTCCGGGGCCGGACCCCCTCCCCAGGCAAAAAAAGGAGTAATGTTTGTGTGTGTGTGTGTGTGTGTGTGTGTGTGTGTGCGTGTGTGTGTGTGTGTGTGTGTGTGCTCAATGGGGGGGGGGGGGAGGGTGTTGAGTTTTAGGCACTTTCCCTCCTCTCTCCTCGTTCAGCACAACAAAATAATAGTCTTGGACATGATCTTCATCATGCATAAACATGATGATGTCCACAATAAAATCTTGACAAAAAACCTTCTTCAAAAGACCACATGCCTGAGCAGCTGGGCCCCCTGGGCTTGTACCTTCGAATCAGAAAGAGATGATTTCTTTCAGCGCACCAATGACACCATAATAAGAAGACCAAACTGCTTGTAATGGATTCAGCTCTCGCTGTCCAACGTGTTGGTTCCGCAGTTGTAAATCATTGGCGATCCCTTCCAAACACTTACAAACACAGCATGCCTCTTTTGTAGGCTGCTGCTTGTAAAAAAAAAAAAAAAAAAAAAAAAAAATCCTCGACGATGGAAAACATTTCTGTGATGAGATGACTGCTTGCCCCCTTTTTCAAAAATTTGCAAACACCCGAAAATTTGGGAAAATGGGCTTTATTTCAAGAAAAAAAATCCGCCAAAGTGACCCTTGAAAATTGGTACACGGGTTTCGAGGCCTCAGCGGCACACCCCCGTCAAAACCAAATCTTAACCCCCCCCCCCCCCCACCCCCCACAAGCGGGCTCCACCAGAGTAATACGTCGGTGTGCTCCTTTTATCCTAGTTTTTCTTTCTTTTCCTTTCTTTTCTTTTCTTTTCTTTTCTTCTCCTTTTTGCTCTCCTTCCTCTTTTTGTTTTGCTCTTTCTTCCTTCTTCTCTTCTCTTTGCTTTCTTTTCTCATTTTTTCTTTCCCTTCCCCCCCCCCCTTTCCCTCTCATTTCCCCTCCCCTTTTCTCGACGGAAACACAATGTCCCAATAGGTAGGGAGTGTTGCATCCCACACCCCAGTCCCCCCCCCCCCTTACTACCCAGGCTATCCTATGGAAATGATGTGTCTCCATATACTGCGTCGGCCCATATTCATAAAACGTTACTAAGTGTAGTTGTCAACTAAAACGCTCGGTAATCATCGTATATTAAAGGGAAGTCTAGGAGAGTTATGCATTTTTAAAGTTGTAATCAGTGGAACACAAATTGGCAACACTTGAATTGAATTGAATTGAATCAAGGTTTATTAAAAAACATGTGTCGCAGCCCAATGGCTGAATTGATCATGTGTACAAATAAAACACTCATTGCATATTTCAAACATAAAATACAGTTACAATTAATTTGACAATATTGAAATACATGTATATGTAGTTACTTTGATTAGATTGCTTGGGCAGCAAAATAAGAAAACAGAATATTACATGAGGTCAGGAAAACGGAGGGGAGAATCATGAAGAAAAAAGTATAAGAGGAAGTTGTAGAAAATGCATGTAAATCAAAAATATAAATTGCATACATGTATTTTTAAAGAGTCATTAAGACAATATACGAAAATAAAAAATAGAAAAGTACATATTCTTTTCATTACATTGTTGAAGATTGATATTGCAAGTCTTTGTATTATTGCTGAGAGAAATGATATAAAAAAAACAGAACAATTGTGGCACACTAAAATTCCTTTTCCTTCAGATATAAAGTGGCTATTGAAGGGAAAGGGAACAGAATTGTGTTAATTTGATTTGTTATTATCTTATGGAGGGTAAAAAAGTAATTCAACATCTGTGAAAAAGAGTATAATACGAATAAAACAATGTATATTAATTCATCTACTTTGATTAATTGGGCTTGGCTTTATTGAGAGTGTCGACAAAATAAGGTATGGGGCTATTTCGGAAACGATTGGTTTTGCACTTGAACTGTTGATATAATTATAGATGCATGGCGTAGGAGATGGGTACGTTTTTCCGAAGAGGTAACCAGGTACTACATGTTGGGTGCTTAGCTAAGGATGTAGCAAAATCCAGACAAAGCTTTACCCTTCTGGATTCAAGCGTTGAGAGTCCACATATTTGGCAGGCATTAGTATAATTTGTGTATCGTGGACCCAGTATGATTCTACATACCCTTTTTTTTAACTTGCTCCAAGCTTCTTATGTGTTTCTGTGTAAGCCCACCATAAAAAACTGGGGTACAGTATTCCATGACAGGACGAATATAGCCCGTATATGATACCAGTTTCAGATCAGCTAAAGACAATCCATATCGTTTCAGAAGCCTAAACAATCATATACAACTTTCTGTTACATTTTTGAGGATTTCAGTGACATGGAGATCCCATTTCAGATTCGATTGCACAATGACACCAAGAATTTTGACAGATTGGAAGTTTTGCAAGGGTGAGTCATCAATATATAAAGTTGGCTCGGCAGGGAGATTTTTGGAGAATGTCACACTAAGTGAAAAACACTTTGAAGGATTTAACTTCATGTGATTTTGACAGGAACAATGATCCAAACTGTAGAGGACAGCTGGTAAGTCAGAGGGATCGGTAACTTTTCGACATTCCAACAAAGTAAGATCATCTACATATTTATAGCAATCGATTGGTATGTTTTCACAAGCATCGTTGATCATCACTAGGAAGAGGATTGGGCCCAATTTAGTTCCTTGGGGTACACCAGCATAATTAGGTAAGTATTGAGATAGAGTGCCTTGGTATTTGACACACTGTTGACGGTGTTCCAAAAACTAATTATCCATTCAATGATGCATGGCCGTACATTGAGTTTGATCATTTTCTAATAAGAATGTTATGATCCAGCCTGTCGAAAGCTTTGGTGAAATCAGTACACACAACAGTGGATAAGCTCTTGCTCTTTTCGCCATTTTCATAGAGATTGTGGAGTAAAATAGCCAGATAATGAGTGGTGGATATACCAGGGCGGTTTCCAAATTGTCGGGCGTCAATTTTGTCGACGATAT